TGAATGTATGGGGGAAATGCAGGGAACTAGAAAGCCTTCATGAGTCCTTCTTCTCCCCAAGATTCCAATCACATGATAGCCTTTTCCATAACTTCAGTTTCAACATTTGTGATCTGATGGACCCCAATCTCCTCTCCTCTACCTTATTTTAAGGATGCCTGGGATTCCAGTTTCTTTCTAAGATGGGTGACCAGGTCCTGATCTTGCCTGAGGGCCTCTTTAGAATGAATGGACTCCTGAAATGGTCATAAAGTGTGTTTCTCAGCCAGGGACTAACATGTAGCCTTTTCAGTAACGTTAGGCATACTTTTAGTTTTACTTTTAAAGATCCAGACCTGTGTTTTATTTGGCATAATCATAGATTCTGTGGAAAACATATTCTTCCTTCTTGAGGTCCTGATAGGAATGGTGCAATATGCGCCTAATCACCACCAGAGGCGCTGTGGGTGATTTATTGATTTCACATTATAACAACTCCTCAGGTTACCCTGCTTCTTAGTATTTCATTTCCAGAGTCAAGGACTAGAGAAAAACCATTGGTAAATAAAAAAGATAATAAAATCAGGAAAAAAATAATAATCTAACTACAAAAACTACAGTCTCTTCCCAAAGCTAAAATTCTTTAAATCCTGAATAAATACAATATATAAATAATGCAATATGTAATAATATAACAAAAGCGCATTATTAGAAATATTAGAGATTAATTATTATTGGAAAGAAACTAGGCCGTCAAGCTTTCTTGGGTATTACCTATTCTTGCACAAAAGTCAACTATCAAGGTCAAAATTTGCTAATTTGCGCTCTCTCTCTCCCTCTTTCTCTCTCTCTCTCTCTCTCTCTCTCTCTCTCTCTCTCTCAACGCATGAGGCACAGATATGACTCTCACCTCACAGCAGCGCCGTTGACTCAGTGTTCCTGTAACTTCAAATCTAGAGATTGTTATCCATTTGCTCTTCCAGAGACACACGGCCCTGATTTCAGGACACCTGTCACATCGTATTGCACTGTTTAAAAAAGCCCATGACAGTGCAACCGAAAATTCAAATGGAATGAATTTGAGTGGGTCAGCAGCACCCTTCCCGTGATTTTCAGCTGATTTTGAGGCCGACATTTCTATGCAAGGTGAGCAGCTATGCAAAGCCGAGCCCATCCCACAGAGGTAAAGTCCTCTTACCGGTGTCTGTGATCATTCAGTTCAATGACGACACAGTGATGAGAATCCAATGTGAAGATGGCTGAAATAATTGGGTCAAGTCCACATCAGGTTGGTTCAGTGGCCACACGCAAATGAGGGCATATTAAAACATTGTAACAGACTGTATTCTCCTGGAGAAAATGGGAATGAGGATGGTGGTGTCTCCATCAATTCCAGAAGACACTAGCAAGTAAAATGTAAACCACTGATATTTATACAGATGTGAATAAAAGTAAATAACACTGTGTAGTATAACTGTAGGCGGAATTCTGTCCCAAACACCTGATCTCCAGTTCATTGCTTCCCATAAGAATAGTTCTAAAGCAGTTAGCCAGTAACGGAAGCTGTCCAGAGTCGGAATATTGGAGGTGAAGGATTACTTCTAATACTCTTGGCTTTGCTGGGTTGGGTTGGCTTCCTTTCATTTGACATGCCAAACCCAACCTCTTCCCTTCTCTGCCATGCTCCAGGCCCATAAGCAAGCTAGCTCCCTTGTCCTCTGGCTTCTTCTAGATCTCACCAGCCAAGAGCAAGAATGGGTGGAAAAGATTGGAGAAAGACCTGTTTCAACTCTGCCGGCGGGTAAGACCAGCACAGGTGAGTGCTCTGCACACAGCCGGCCTTGCTCCATGTTCTAGTGACATGTTACACGACTACTCCATGTGCCTTCTATGCTCCTTGCTGACACCTGTTGTGAACAGCCCCTCACTGAACTCTCTCTGTTCACTAGATTTAATTTGTCATGTTTTTATCTGGACTCCTAAATGAATTAGTCAGAAGTTCAGGATTCGTTGGCAATTAGTGTTCATTCAAAAAAGTTGTTGGACAGTAACAAAAAGTATGACTGTTTTTTCTTTACCCTGTTATGGTTTCTTTGGCAAGTCTGAGGGGACTGTACCTGTGAGATTGTCTCAACTCTTCTTTAAGCTTATGTGGCCTCACTTTTATTAAAACGACTTTTGGGTTATGTGCTGTCTTAAGGAGTAGAGAGCAAGTGAGCAGCTTAGCCAGATTGACTCAAGTCGGCCCTCTATCATTCCACTGTAGTGTGTGTGTGTGTGTGTGTGTGTGTGTGTGTGTGTGTGTGAGAGAGAGAGAGAGAGAGAGAGAGAGGCAGACAGACAGACAGACAGACAGATAGAGGTGAAACAGATAGAGATGAAACAAGTCTGGCTTTTGAGTTTAATTCTTTTTAAATATTTAAATATATCTTTAATTCTTTTTAATATTTGTGAGGTTTTCTTTAGTATTCCTGCTAGGATTTTAGTTACGGTTAGGTTTAGACTTGGGCTGGTGTTAGAAATAGGATTAGATATAAACTTTAAAATGGAGCTATGGGAGCATTAAATTTAAAGTTCATGTGATTAGGGTTAGGAATAGAGATTGGTGTAACACTGGTACAGGGTATAGTCACTGTTAAAAATGGTTTCTAGTTAGTTATAGTCCTAGTTTTACACTGGGTTATGTGACCAGTTAGGGTCATTTAATTCTTATTGAGAGACAATTCCCCAGGACAATGGGACATGGTTTCTAACAACTTTTATTCTAGAGTGTCTTTTCAAGGGTGTTTATAAACAGCCTCAGGCAGGGAGCACATCTTTTCCTAACCAAAGCTGTAAGAAGAGACAAAGTCTCCCTCCAAGTTAGCTTATGGTTCTCTAGAGGAGACTGGAAATTCTAAGCTATGCCCACTGTACCTGAAGCAAGTAAGTGACCTCTTCACATAAGCCTTTGGGACTTGAAAACAAGGGCCACCAATGCAAGCATGCTCCCATTCATTCTGACTGCTGTCTTATGAGTAAATGTGGCCTGTGTTTCATGTCTTCTGCTAATACATAAGGACTGAGGAAGTTAAACGGCTAGCTTAGGCACTGGTCCCCTTACTACCCACTGTAACAGAACTCCCAAGATAATTGACTACTAAGAGAAAGGAGTATTCCAGCTCGCCAACTACAAGGTTGATTGAAAGAACCTATAGATTTTAGGGCCTCTGGCATGGTTGTTAAGACAGTCACAGCAGGGTGCACAGGACCCAGAAAACAGTTGATTTCATGGCAAGATGCAAGGGGTGACAGGAAGGGCCCATATGACAGCATGCTCCCGGGCCCTAAGGACCTACCACCTCCCCCCAGTAGCACCGCCCTAGAGACCAAGCCCTTCAACATATTGGCCTTTGGGAGACATCCGTCACTCAAACCATAGCAGCTTGCACACACAGTCCTAGCTCATGCCCTTCCAGGCCTTGCCAGCCTAATAACATCCTTGGAGTAGCTTCCATCCTGAAGTTGGGTCATTTCTGTATCAGGCTTTTGCTGCTTTTGACAACAGTAGCCACATTCCCTCTAGATACTCTGGGCCATGAATGTTGCTAGGTAGCTTATTCTGGGTCTCTGTCCTTCCATCTTCATTGATTAGAAGGCTGATAGCATTACATTGCTTCTCCAGTAGCAGCTACATTCACAGGAAGTGGTCACTAAGGCAGTATGGGCAGTAACACTTCTTTTACCAATGCTTTTCTCTGGCCCCATCTGAGAAGATAAAGTCGGAATTTGATGCCTATGTTAGCAACACATGAAAAATCCATTCCCATATCCCTCTCTTACATGTCTAAGTTCTTTCCTCTTTGTCTGGAGTGATAGTAGTTAAGAACACTGGCTGCTCTTCCAGAGGACCTGGATTTTCTTCCAGTAATCACATGGCAGCTCACAACCATACATAACTCCAGTTCCAGAGAATTTGATGCCCTCTTCTGTCCTCCGTGGGCAGCAAACACATGCGCGAGGCACAGACATTCCTGCAGATAACATACCCCCACACATGAAAAAACAAGAAAAAATTCTTTCCTCTATAGTATGTGAAGGAAATGTCAGGGCTTGGCTACATTCAGTGAGGTGCCCCCTGTTCAGTTAGCATGGCTTGCTGGAGTCAGGGAAGAGTGCTGGCAAGGTCTGTTAGTTTTCTGACGTTGCTGTGACCACAAAGCCTGAGTGAATTGACTTCAGGGAAGACTTATTGTGGTTCGTGGTTCCTGACGGTCCCATCCATCAGTGCACAGAGAGCATGGTAGGGCAGCTCAGTTGATGGCATGAGACACACGTGGTGGAGACTCCAGAGTTCAGGGCAGGAGCCAGCGGCAGGTGTAACCCCCTAAAGCCCTTGCCTTTGATTGCTTCTACCAGGGTGGCTCTATTTCCTGCAGGCTCCACAGGTTCCCCAAAACAGCACCACCAGTGAGGGGGCAAACATTCAAAACTGGCATTTCCGATTCAAGCCACAACCGATGACAGAGGTTTCAACACATACACCAGCCATGAAATACTTTGGCCTTGGAGTACACCTTCCATCCACCTTAGATTCCATGCCATGTAACCATTGGAGCGCAATGCACCAAGCTCTGAAACCCATAAAAATCACCTGCTTTCAGTGAACCCCAAGACAAGGACAAACTGCAGCGTCTAAGCCAGGTTGTCCAGCGTCACTGGGTGTGTGGATGACACGTGAAAGGGCAACCTCTCAATGAAAGGATAGGATGTCTGGGGGCGCTGCACCCTTGAAACGTGGAGCTGCACAGAAATGAAGTCACAGTATCCCAAATTATTACGCGTCCTGTGGGGAGTTCCGAGCTCCTGAAGCTTTCCCCCTGGAGAATGGGAACAGCTACGGGGTTTGTTCTCCGGCCGTTTCTTTTTTCCATTCCAACTGGTATGGAAAATGCCTATAGTGACTGTATTTTAAGCTGGAGTATTTGAATCTGCATCAACTCCTGACAAGCCACAGTCTACACATTAGTTTGTGTGTACTTCTGGTACTTTGGCAGCAGACATACTAAAACTGGAACAATGCAGAGATTAGCATGGTCCCTGCACGTGGATGACACACAAATTCGTGAAGCCTTCCATATTTTTTTTTAAATAGTGTTTGGGGGCCTAACCAGGGTTGTCTAATTGTTCCTCCTGTTTTATAATGGATCACTGGTGCGTGTGCCCAGTGTTCAGTTACAGTAGCTGGTTGATGATGGGTGGTTCAGGCTGCCTAGTGATTTATTGACCCCAAGAGTAATGTTTACTTCTATTAGGAATTAGATGAGCTAAAAATGGCTTTTCAAATGAAGAATGGTGATAGTGTGGGCTTCTTCCAAAACCAACAGTGCTTTCTCTGCAGTTTGGGATCTCCAAACAACACCTTTGTGGCATGCACACATCCTGTGATGCTGGACGTCCTGGCTCAAATGCTGCAGTTGTCCTTGTCTCGGGTTTCACTGAAAGCAGGTGAGTATTATGGATTTTCATAGCTTGGTGCAATGTGCCCAAATGTGGTCTTGTCACATGCCGTATTTCTTTGTGGTGGATTGTGGGAGGTGATGCCACTTCCCTTTTCCATAGAAAGGATTTCTCAGTGTGCCCCCACATCTCTGGACATCTTGAAACATCAAAGAGGTAGGGCCCTGGACTTTTATAGGATTTATTTGTTGTTCTTTTAATTTTATTTTTAGTCTAATTTTGTTTGCATATGAGGGCTTTTGCTCACAGAGTCCAGAAGAGAGAGTTGGGTTCTCCATAACTGGAGTTACAGGTGGTTGTGAGCTACCTGACATGGGTGCTGGGAACTGAAATCCATCCTCTGTAAGAGCATGTACTTTTTTTAAAATTTATGTGCATTGCTGTTTTCCCTGCATGTATGGGGGTGTCAGATCCCCTAGAAATGGAGTTACAGATAGTTGCATGAGCTTCCATGTGGGTGCTGGGAATCGAACATGGGTCCTCTGGAAGAGCAGTCTGTGCTTTTGACAGCTGAGCTGTCTCTCCAGCATGCACTCTTAGGCACTGAGTCATTGCCAGTCAGTCTTTTACTGGTGAAACATAACACTCCACACAGATAAAGGAATTACCGCCCGACCTGTTTGTACGCTTTTACAGCAGCAGCAATAACTACAACACTGATATTTTGGGGCTGTCCAAACTAAACTGCTCAAGATGTGATTTACAGGCACTGTTTATATTAGCAGTAACATTGAAGCTGGGCCTTGTGTTCCTTACCCAAGCTGTACACACGAATAGCAATATGATTCTGTGGTCTTTTGGCTTCTACAACTGGCCGATGTCAAGTCCATGCATCTCTCCTGTTTCTTCCCTATAGTTCCTAAATGTTCTTGTTTGGATCCATGTTGGCTTACCTCATGGCTGTCACCAAACAGAGGGGAAGGAACCTTTCCCCATATCCCCTTATGGGTTATATTGCTTGTGATTTATTAGCTTGGTTTGTCATGTGGAAGGAGGGGTTTTTTTAAGATTTATTATTAAAAGAAAACAAAGAAAACGAACTTTTTTCATTATGAATACCAATCCAAGTTCCCACTCCTTCCCCTCCTCCCATCCCCTCCACATACCCTCCCAGCCCACCCCCAGCCACTCCTCAGAGAGGGTAAGGCACATTGCTTTGGGGAAGGTCCAAGGCCCTCCCTACTACATCAAGGCTGAGCAAAGTATCCATCCAAAGAAAATAGGTTCCCAAATAGCCAGTACAAGCAATAGGAATAAATCCTGGTGCCATTGCCAGTGGCCCCTCAGTCTGCCCCAGTCATGCAACTGTCAACCACATTCAGAGGGACTAGTTTCGTCCTATGCTTGTTTCTTCCCAGTCCAGCTGATGGTGAGCTCCCATTCGCTGTAGGAATTCCTACAGCCAGTAGCCTTTAAGTTACCCACCCACTTGGGCGTGGCCTCATATATTATTTATGCTGATGTAAAGCATGTGTCCAGTCTCTCTTTTCCCGTCGCTGGATTCAGTTGCTGTTCCCTGTTGGAGCAGAGGATTTGATCTATGAGTCTACCCCTAAATAAAAAATTTTATTATAGTCAATTCTGAGCTAGTGTGGGATTTTTTTTAGTGTCTCTCTTCTCCCATTAGCTCATGTAGACTGTTTCAGTGGGTGAACCCATCATGGTCGTGACCTCTTTGCTCATAGTCTCACTCCTCCCACTCTTCAGCTGGACTTTGGGAGCTCAGCCCAGTGCTTTGATGCGGGTCTCTGCCTCTGTCTCCATCAGTTGTTGGATGAAGGTTCTATGGTGATATTTAAGATATTCATCAGTCGGACTACAGGGCAAGGCCAGTTCAGGCACCCTCTCCTCTACTGTTCAGGGTCATTCTTGTGGATTCCTGGGAATTTCTCTAGAGCCAAGTTTCTTGCTAGCCGCATAATGGCTCCCGCAATCAAGATTTCTCTTTCCTAGGTTTATTATGTATATGGTGCTCTGTCTGCATGTGTGCCTGCACCCAGCAGAGGGCATCATATGTGGCTGCTGGGAATTGAACTCAGGACCTCTGGAAGAGCAGTCTCTCCAGTCCTGTGGAAGGAGTTTTACAGGTCCAGGACATGGTTATTTTTTCCTAGTAACCCTCCCTCCACAGGCAGGAGAGCAGACTGGCAGCCCACTAGTGAGCTGTGTCAGTGTGTATGTCTGCACGTGTGTGTCCCTTCTGCTTTGTGAAGCGAATCCTCAGTGGCTGGCCGGTGATTTTGCTTCATGGCATTCTTATCGCCGCTCCTTCTCTGCACCACACCGTGCTAGGTGTAATTGTCTGACTCTGGAGTTAGGCTCTGACACCTGCCCCCTTAAAATTTAGTTTCCCATCATTTTGCGTGTGTGTGTGTGTGTGTGTGTGTGTGTGATATAATGTTATATTTCCGTGGGGTGAAAACTACTTTAGGAACAAGCTAGGCAAGGCAAAGATGCAGCTACTCGGGAGAGAATGAGAAGACTGCATGGGAAACCAGAGCAGAACAAAAGGAGGGGCCGGGGTCTCTGTCTCTATCCACCTAGTGACATGGTGGGGATTTTATTTTCAGCCCCTGGTTTTACAGGCCCTTGTTCTCTCTCTGAATTCATTGCAGAGCCCTGTAAAGTCAGCAGATCTTGATTTAAAGTCAGGGACTATCAACTGTGGGACACTGGAGAAACAGAAGCAGGTGGATGTCTATGAATTTTAGGCCAGTCTGTCTACACACAGAGACCGTCGAGAAAGAAAGGGAGGAAGAAAGAAAGGATGGGAGGATAGGAGGGAGGAAAGGAGGGAAGAAGAAAGGAAGGGAGGAAGTGAGGGAGGAAGGAAAGAAGGAAAGAAGTAAGGACATCTTTGAAATAAAGCAGAGCCTTTATGAGAGAACATATTCAGGTGAAAAACTCAGTATTTCTGATTTCTCTACAGTTGGGTAGAAGTTTCACCAAAAATGAACTCCAGCTTAAAAACACATGCAAAGTCCCACTTGCATCTGACACCTCTGTCTCTTCATTGCCCTGTTTTTAACAATAGTTCTTAATGGTTCAAGAATTTTAGTTTTTTCTGAGGAACTCACAGTCTAAGAAAAACAGACAAACATTTAATGGCTGTAACAAAACATGAACGATGGTGCTGAAGTGTTGAGACAGATTTCAAAAATTTTGTAAAAAAAAAAATGATCTTCCATGAGAAAGAACAGGAAAGAGAACCATAGGAAGCAAAGAATGTGTGTGACTGAACATACAGAAACAACCCATGTTAGACAGCCTATCCAAAAAAGAGTGTCATTGGCCAAGAAGTAAACAGTAAGGAGATTTGGTTGTAGAGCAAGAGTTTTCTCTTATTTTCTGAACTTCAACAACACGTGAGGTATTTTCATTAATGATCAGGAATTTCAACTATTTTAGTTTAAACCAAACAAAATTTGTAGTGCCCTGATGGAGGAAGGTCATTGGTTAATTAATAAAGAAACTGCTTGGCCTCATAGGTTAGAACGTAGGTGGGTGGAGTAAACAGAACAGAATGCTGGGAGGAAGAGGAAGTGAGCTCAGATGTGATGCCGCTCTTCTCCAGGGCAGACGCGATGAAGCTCTGACCCAGGATGGACGTAGGCTAGAATCTTCCCAGTAAGCACACCTCGGTGCTACACACATTAATAGAAATGGGCCAGGCAGTGTTTAAATGAATACAATTTGTGTGTTGTTATTTCAGGGCATAAGCTAGCCAGGCGGCTGGGAGCTGGGCTGTGGGAAGAGGCTGCAGCTCCATCTACAGTGCCCCTTTAAGGAGTTGTAAAATGGAGATCTCGAAAGAATAGGTGAAAGATTGTGGAAGTCAATCTCCAGGCTCTGGGTCACAGAGTGACAGGAATATACATACAATTCCATCTGTATCTCCAGAACACTTGGGCCCATATCATTTTGCACACGTGACCAATCGTCAGAATTGCCCTGGTTTAGACACTGAGCAACGGCAGGCAGGCCACCCAGGGCGCTTTCCTCCTCCACAGTGAATGTCACCAGAGTTTGGAGTTTTTGACAAAGACCTTCCCAACCAGGGGCTTGCGATGATGTATGAGTCCACATGTGATATGCAAGCATGTGACTCCTGTGTTCATCTTCCCTGACACACCAGTGGAACCTGAATGTGGCTTCTGCCTCACAAGGTCCTGGACATGGAAGAAGCCTGGGCACTGCCTGGCCAGGTGGATCGCCTCGACAGCAGTCACCCAGTTACAAAAGTCCTGAAACACAAAATGCTTTGAAATCAGTTGCTATGGACCCGTTTTCCTGGGTATTTGCTGGGTAACATCAAGCAAACAACCCTACCTCTCCGCATCTGTTCAACCATCAGGACGGGATCCAGTCCTAAGTTGCTTTAAGGGGAAGATCCAATGAGAGAACAGGTCAAAGGTCAGCATGCGCTTAGTGAAGATCCCTTCCCCCTCTACTCCCAGCAGCCTTTGCTGCTGAGCTGCTGTCAGGCTCCCATCAGTCCTCCAGGCCTTGATGCAGGCTGATGGTTGTTTCCTGAGTGACAGATTCAAGGAGGCAGAACAAGTACTTGCTGTTCAGGGTGCAGGCTTCTCTGAAACCTGATTCTCAGGGCTCATTTTAGAAGTCAG